GCTTGTTAAACTCAACACAGAAAGATTGTTCTTGTTATCTCATCAGTTTTCAACAAGTTGAGTCACACATCATTTTTTCTTGCCAAGTATCAAGCCCAGAGTTAGGATCTTAAATTAACACTGAAAATTCCAGAAAATTGTGTGGTTTCATATTTCTCGTACTATTTGGTCTAATTTTATTTTAGCTTTCTCCAGCAATGACTTACCTGAAACAAAAGAAGAAAGCACTGAGTCACATTCATTTTAGGTTTAATATTTACATGTTCAAGAAAATCTAGAAGTAGTTCAGCTGAGAATCTTTTGGAACCTGCCAAATCCTCTATGGTGCCAGAAACTATAGTGCCCCAATCTTTGTATTACTTTTGAAGCCTTGTGTGAAGCAATAATGACAGTATATGACTTTCCTTAATCCTTTAGAATCCTTCATATTTTGTGGATATTGTAGGGATTGGGTAATAATTTTCTTGAAGTTCTCTCAATGATCCCATCTCAATGTCTTCTTCAAACGCTAGACTTGCACGATTCACTCAGTTTAAATGCATAAAAGTGCATAAACTGCATCGTCTTTCTGCTTAGTTCAGTCCCGAGTCCAAGTCCGGCCTATTCCTATTTAAAGCAAAAGACTGGTCATAAGTTGCTGAAATAAAAAAATGTTAAACTTTGACCTTACTTGAGGTGACTTGATTACTGTTCTGAAAGGTCAGCAGTGCTCGAGCGTAAACCTGTTTAACTTTGTTCTGTTTTGGATGTTTGAAGGAATGCCAGGGACGCCGCCCCCTCCCCAAAGTCAGTGTGGCAGGATGGAAGCATTGATAGCTAGAGTACCGCCCCCTCCTGGCTTCACCTGTGCCGTCTTCCCCGACTGCCTGGGTTTCCATTGCTTTGGATCTATCAACGCCGTCATACTGGTAAGAAGGCATGAATTAATGTCGGCCGTAACTATGGTAATGCATAAGGCGCGATGTGGGGGACTGAGCTGGATCCAAGCATGAACGCCCGCCCTGTGAGCCGGGGTAATTTGTGAGGCAAGTTAACCAACAGTTGTGGAGTATTTTTGGCGATTGGGCTCTCGACAAATGAAACAGAGGTCCATTTCTTGAATGGTGTTAAAGTTTAAGATCAGGAACACTTGTGGACACTTTGTGGAGGGATGGGCTTGATGCAGTCTTATACTGGGGAGGAGGTTGACAAAAGGTGGGGCCAAGCTTAGCTACTTTCAGTGTGCTTTACATACTATTATTATATAAACCCAATTTGTTCTCCTCGTCACAAAAATGTCAGCATTTTATGATGATTTGAGCAAAATTGCCAAAAGAGCCAAACAATCAAGCATATAATCACGATTATGCTCTCTACATGGAAAAAAAATCCTATTATAATCGGGATATTTATTCATCATTTTCCTAATCCACTTTAAGCTAGGTCGTGTTTTAATTCATTTCAGACTTATGCCGTCAATGTGTCCCTTACCATCAACCACTGTGATGTACCTGTGTCATACACAGTGGCTGTGACCAATCCGGGATCCCCGTTGCTATGGCAACACAGATTCTATCACAATGCCACAGTCCCAGTTGGTGAGCAACAGTGCAAACCCCAATTTTGATGATTTTGTCTTGTAACAATGTATCAGGTCAGTCAGTTCAAATCTAGGGTCGGAAATGGTGCCGCAAGGCATTTTAGCTATGTTGCCAGTGAATGAGTGTACATGTGTCCGAAATCGTGCTCAAAACCCCTGTCCCTGTGGTTGAATGTTAGATTCATTCTCATTTTTTTTTTAAATGTTGAGTATTTACAGAATTGATGTTTCTTTTTATGGGGAGTCCAAACTTTATGCCCTCCTCTGATATGTCCTGGTTGGATATTTGTTTCAGTTATGCATATACTTAGCTCATGAAGTTTGTTGTTTTTGCTTCTTAACAGTAGCTAATTTTCCAGGGCGCACAAACGTCAAATTACAAGTCCTTATGCAGCACAGTAAAGCCTACATTGAAACCTCGGTGAGTCATTCATTGAACAGTGCCCACATTTAATTGTTTAGCAAAAATCCAACAAGAGCAGACTTCAACCAGTAAACCTTGCTAGACATTTTGGATGACAACCCCAAGCAGTAATCTTGTCAATTTCGCAGTAAGCAAAACTTTCCCCTGCTTAGTAAGCTTGTGAATTTAGAAGTCTTGTAACATACCCTCTTCCCTGCTGTGTTCACTTAAGAACAACAGCAGCAGCTGGGCTAAACCGTTATAGCAATAGTACAATTTGTCTTTAAAGATTGAGATAATCTATTGAGCCCTTAAAGGTCCCCGCCCCCTTATTTTTCCCCTCATTTTGCATCCTAGAATAATTTGATCTTGTATAGACTGGCTTTTCTTGGTGACAGCAGTAGGCTTCTAATCATATCTTCATTGTATTCTTTCCTTTTTTGATTCAGATCAAAGTCATCGTGTGTCTAGATGTGATTGGTTGTTTTGACATATCCTTTATGAGCAACGAGCAAGTTCCAGTGCCCCCCTGTACAACGAATGGTAAGATATTTTGGGTTTTTTGTTTTATTTAAAGAGCTACTTTGGCGGAATCAAATTTAAAAGTAAATGTCTGGCATTAATGATGAGAAGTGCACGGTATGGGTGTGAC